GGTTTTAGGAGCTACTGGGGGGGATTTGGGGGGGATCCCGGGGGATTTAGGAGCTACTGGGGGAGTTTAGGAGCATCTGGGAGGGATTTAGGATCAACAAGGTTCGTTCTGCTGCTTCTGGAGCCGGGAGGGGGCCGGGACGAACCAGGCAGGTCCCGCCCGGGAGTGCTGCAAAAACTCACCGGAGAAAAGCCGGCGGTCCCGGAGCGATCCCGGTGCTGATCCCGGTGTCGATCCTGATCCCTGAGCAGTTCTGGTACCGGTCTCGGTCCCGGTACCGGAGCGGTGCCGCTCTCAGAGCCGGTACCGGCGCCGGTCTCCTTGGCCTCGCCCCTTTCCCCTCACAGTTCCCGCCCTTAATGTGACCACGCCCCTTTCCCCTCACGGTTCTCGCCCTTAATGTGGCCATGCCCCCTTCGGCTCATGCCCCGCCCTCTCATTGGTTTTTCCGTTAAGCCCCGCCCATCTCCTGGCGCTCTCCCTCCGACGCATGCGCAGAACACCCGGAAGCGGCTTCCCCGGGCGCCGCCATCTTTGCTCCCGGTGCCCCGGCCCGGCTCCAGCATGTCCGAGACCTACGGTGGGGCTATAGGGGAATCTATAGGGGATCTATAGGGGATCTGTAGGGATCTGGGGGGTCTGGGGGGGTCCAGGGAGTTTGGGAGGGATTCTGCGATCTCTGCAGGGTGTGTGGGTGTCTCTGTAGCGGATTCGGGGGGGTATGGGGGTCCCTGAAGGGAATCTGGGGGCTCTGTAGGGGATCTATAGGTGATCTATAGGTGATCTATAGGAGATCTATAGGGGATCCATAGGGGATCTGTAGGGGATCCACGGGGGATCTATAGGGGATCTATGGGGGATCCATAGGGGATCTATGGGGGATCTATAGGGGATCCATAGGGGATCCATAGGGGTCTGGGGGAGCCTCTGGAGGGTCCAGGGGGGTCTCGGGGTCCCCTTGGAGGAACCTGGGGGTCCTCGGAGGGATTTTTTGGGATTTGGGTTCCGTGGGCAGCGGATTCTTCCCGATTTGGGGTCCCCGTGAGGAAAATTTGGGAAATTTGGGGTCCCCATAAGGAAAATCTGGGAATTTTGGGAATCTTTTTCCCCCCCAGATTTCCTCTTCAAGTTCCTGGTGATCGGCAGCGCCGGCACCGGCAAGTCCTGCCTGCTGCACCACTTCATCGAGAGCAAGTGTACGGAATTCCGGGGAATTTCGGGAATTTTCGGGAATTCTGGGGAATTCTGGGCGCTCTTAGGAATTTTGGGGAGATTTTTGGAGGCATTTTCGGGTTATTTTTTACATTTTTGAGCCCTTTGGAGGCTTTTTCCCCTCCTTCTTTCATGGGATTTTGCTTTTTAACGCAACTTTTGGGGAATTTGGGGCATTTTCTTTCATTTTGGGGCATTTGGAGCCAATTTTGGGCCACTTTGGGTCATTTTGGGGCCATTTCCCACCAATTCCGGACATCCCCGCTCCCCCATCCCACGGAATTCCCGTTTTTTCCCCATTTTTCCCAGTCAAGCAGGATTCCAACCACACCATCGGGGTGGAATTCGGCTCCAAGGTCGTCAACGTGGGCGGGAAAACGGTGAAACTTCAGATCTGGGACACGGCCGGCCAGGAGCGCTTCAGGTACCTCCTTTTTTCCCAATTTTCCCACTTTTATCCCAATTTTTCCCCTTTTTTCCCGCTTTTCCTCCTTTTTTTCCTAATTTTTTCCCATTTTTCCGTCTTTTCCCTCATTTTTTTCCTGTTTTCCTTCCTTTATTTCTTGTTTTTTCTCAATTTTTCCTCATTTCTCCTCAATCTTTTCTCACTTTTCCCTTTTTTCCCTCCTTTTACTTCATTTTTCTCAAATTTTCTCCCCATTTTTGCCTTGTTTTTCCCCATTTTCTCCCCATTTCTGTCTGTTTTCCCTCTTTCTTTTTCCCAATTTTTTTTATTTCTTTCCTCATTTTTTTCCTTTATTTTCCATGTTTTTTTTCCCGTTTTTTCCTTGTTTTTCCTTTTTTTTTCCTGCTGTTTTTCCATGGTTTTTTCCCACATTTTTTCCCACGGGTTCTCCTGGCTTTTCCCCTCTTTTTCCCTCAATTTCCACCTCTTTTACCAATTAATTAATTATTATTAACGGCTATTATTTTTTATTATAATTATTATTGCCAATAATCAATCATTACTTTTTATTACCATTAACTGTTATGAATTAGAGCTGTTAATTATTACTCACCATTAATTATTATTAACAATTATTAGGAATATTTGCTGATTGTTAATTATTGTGAACCGTTAATGATTATTAGCGATTATTAACGATCCCCCCGGTGGCCGATGCGCGATTTTGGCTCGGGGTTTGTTCCGTTCCCGCCCAGAATTCCCGTTTTTTTCCCTTTTTTCCCGCTTTTTCCTGTTTTTTCCCCATTTTTTCCCTGCCCAGATCGGTGACCCGCAGTTACTACCGGGGGGCCGCGGGGGCGCTGCTCGTCTATGACATCACCAGGTACGCCAGTGACGTCATTGACGCGCCGGTGACGTCATCGGCTCGTCCACGATGTCATCAATGTGATTGTGATGTCATTGGTGGGTGGGCGTGATGTCATTGGTGGGTGTGTGACGTCATTGGTGGGCACATGTGACGTCATCTGTGGGTGGGTGTGACGTCACTGGTGTGTGTGACGTCACCATGTCAGTTTATGACGTCATCGCGTAGATTTCAGACTCTTCTTTTTTTTGCCTTTTGGGGCTTTTTTATTTCCTTTTTTCCCCATTTTTTTTTCCCCCTTTCCCGCGGCTCCCGGAATTCCCGCGGATCCCGGGATGATTCCAGCTGGGAAACCTCCACCACCCCTTGGATTTAGGAGGATTTCGGGGTTTTTTGGGGTGGGTTTTTAATTTCTTTATATTTTTTTTTTCTCATTTTTCCCCATTTTTTCCCCATTTTTTTTCCCCCTTTCCCGCGGCTCCCGGAATTCCTGCAATTCCCGGGATTCCGGCGGCTCCGGGGCGATCCCAGCCGGGAGACGTACAACGCGCTGGCGCAGTGGCTGACGGACGCCCGCACCTTGGCCAGCCCCAACATCGTCATCATCCTCTGCGGCAACAAGAAGGACCTGGAGGGCGAGCGGGAGGTGACGTTCCTGGAGGCCTCGCGCTTCGCCCAGGAAAACGGTCGGAAAAATGGGAAAAAACGGGAAAAACGGGGAGAAAATGGGAAAAAAACGGGGAAAAAATGGGAAAAAATGGGGGAAATAATGGGGAAATTGGATAAAAACGGGGTTTGGGATGAGCGGGAGGTGACGTTCCTGGAGGCCTCGCGCTTCGCCCAGGAGAACGGTCCGGAAAAAAACAGGAAAAACGGGGGGAAATGGGAAAAACAGGAAAAACGGGGGGAAATGGGAAAAATGGGGGAAAACAGGGGAAAAAATGGGGGGAAAACAGGGGAAAATGGGTAAAAATGGGATTTTGTGGTCATGGGATTGGGGGGAATAATTTTGGGGGGAAAATCCTGGAGGGAATAACGGGATCCCGGGGGGAATTCCTGGAGGGAGCAACGGGATCCCGAGGGAATTCCGGGTGGGAATTTGGGTTGGGAATTCGGGGTCCCGGGGGAATTCCTGGTGGGAACGAGGGGAATTCCTGGGAATCAGAGTTGATGTTCCTGGAGACGAGCGCGCTGACGGGCGAGAACGTGGAGGAGGCGTTCCTCAAGTGCGCCCGCACCATCCTCAACAAGATCGAATCCGGTACCCAGGGAGCAGGAATCCATCGGGGATTGGGAATTGGGATCGGGAATTGGGAATTGGGAATCGGGATCGGGAATTGGGATTGGGAATCGGGATCGAGAATTGGGATCGGGAATCGGGATTGGGATCGGGAATTGGGATCAGGATCAGGAATTGGGATCAGGGATCCTGAGGATCGAGGGTTTGGATCCTTGGGAACCAGGAGGGTTTCTCTCCTCCCAAAAGTTGAGATTTCGGGGGAATTGGGAAGTTTGGATCCTGGGGATGGAGGTTTGGGATTCCCGAGTGATCCAGGACCAGGGATGCAGGGGGGATTTTGGGATCCAGAATTTCCTGGAGAATTTCCAGGGAATCTGGGATGGGTTTGGGTGGATCCAGGGGGGATTTTGGGATCCCAAAATTCCAATTTTTTCCCTGCCCAGGGGAGCTGGATCCCGAGCGGATGGGATCCGGGATTGGGGGGGATTTGGGGGGATTTGGGGATCTGGAGTTCCCGATTTTCCCTGCCCAGGGGAGCTGGATCCCGAGCGGATGGGATCCGGGATCCAGTACGGGGACGCATCGCTCCGGCAGCTCCGGCAGCCCCGGGGGGCTCCGGCCCCGAGCCGGCAGAGCTGCGGCTGCTGAGACCCCCCCAAAATATTCCCAAAAAACAGGTGAGACCCTCCGGAAATCCCAAAAAATTCAGGTGAGATTTCCCCCCCCGAAAAATCCCCAAAATTCCCAGTGAAACCCCCCAAAAAAATCCCCAAAATTCCCAGAGAAACCCCCCAAAAAAATCCCCCAAATTCCCAGTGAAACCCCCCAAAAATCCAGGTGAGACCTTTCCCAAAAAAACCCCAAAACCACCCCAAAAAAATCCCAAAAAGTCCAGGTCAGACTCCCCTGAAAAATCTCAAATAAAACCCCAAAATCCAGGGGAGAACCTTCCCAAAATCCCCAAAAAATCCAGGTGAGACCCCCCCCAAAAATGAGAATATTAAAAAATGGGGATCCTGAATAAATGGGAAGCGCCTCCAAAAAACAGGGAACCACCCAGGACACCCCCAAAAAACGCGGATCCCAAAAATGGAGATTCCCAAAAAATTCCTTAAATTATTCCCTAGAATCGAGAACCCCCCCCACCGAATTTAACCCCCCCCAAAAAATTCCCAAATTCCTCAGAATTCCCTCAGTTTCCCTAAAATTCCCATTTTTCCCCCCTCCAGGACCAGGTGCCTCCGCTGGATCTCGGGGACCCCCCCAGGAATTTTTGGGGGGGTCTCTCCTCCCCCGCTGCCCCCAAAAACCCAAATTTGGGGTCCAAATCCGCTGCTTTTGGGCAAAAGAATTCCCAGGAATCCCTTGGATTCCGGAGGGGGATCCCCTCCCTCCCTCAGTGCGGTTTTTGGGGGTTTCCCCCAAATTTCCCGGGTTTATTTTTGCCTTTTTTTGCCATTTTTTGATGGTTTTGGCGTTTTTCAAAGCGGGATTTTTTTCTGGGGGGTCCCCCCAGTTTTTTGGGAGGGGTCCCCCAATGTTTTCGGGGGGGTGGGGGTCGCCCTTTCTCCCAAATTTTTCCTCCGTCCCCCTCCCCCCCAAATTGGGGGGGGGTCTTTTTTTTTTCCTTTTTTTCCCTTTTTTTTTCCTTTTTTTTTTTATTTTTCTTTTTTCCTTGTTTTATTTATTTGCACTTAATTTGGGGAGGGGGGAGGGGCAGGAATTTTGGGCAGGGGTCGCCGGGGGGGCTGGAAAAGTTGGGGACCCTCCCCAAAAAAACTCCCGGGAAAAACCCCGGGAATTCCGGGGCTTCCCCCGCCCGAGGTGTGAAAAATGTGAAATAAAAAATTTACGTTTTCAGCTTTTTTGGTGATTTTTGGGGCGGGGCCGCTGGG